AATTCTTATCTATTCTNAGTCTTAATTATAATTATGTTAAACCGAGAATTGAATTTAAGTTCGATTCAATTAACACTTATATCTTAAACCTACAAACTAATTCTTATCTATTCTTGTGATGTCATAACTTTATTATTATTATTTTTAATTTAGTTATTCTTTATTATTTTTACAATCAAAGTGAAACTTGGAATCGATAATCAATTCGAATACTAAATAATAATCACTTCGAATACTAAATAATAATTACTTCGAATCGATAATCGAGTAAAATAAAATTTGGAGGAGAAATTTCGATCATTTGATCAATAATTTTAAAACAATCTAAGCCACGAAAATTCAAGACAAATAATGATCGCCCTTTTAGTATATAGATTTATCACATTACACACACACACACACACACATATATATATTATTCGCCTATTATACCATTCGAATATTATAGTATTTTTATTTTAATACAAAATATGGTCTATAATATAATCATTCAACTCGTTTTGACGCAAATAATATTTATTTAACGTCCATTTGTTTGTTTAAATTTTTTAAAAATAATTTGTAATTATAATCATAATTAACGACCTAATTAATGTGTAGTATGAGATAGAGAGTTATAAGAGAGATAAGAGTTTTAGAATTGTAGAATGAATGAAAGTCTTACTCAAAATATTGGGGGGGGGAGAGGATTTTTTGTATTAGGACCGTCGGATCAATATTTCTTCAAGTGATTTGAGCTGCAAAAAATTAAAGATAAAGGAATTTAGTTAGTTTATTATATAAATATAAAGCCTATGCTGAATCGGTACAATATTGAGGGTTTAGAGTTATTGGGTTTTGAAAGAGTTTTGGTCTATAGCTTCGGAAATGACATCGGGTACAACATGCTCTGTTTACGCTGTTTTGCGGTTCTGTTTTTAACCTTTGTCCGATCAACCTCCTCAAACTTTTTCGAGACATCCAATTGGAGTAAAAACAACACATTATGAGTAAAGTTTCTTATAAATACATCATTATGGATTAAATCCAAACCTAGCTTAAGGGAAATGGGCAACCAGCAAATAATGATTTGAGTGATTTAAATTACATCACTTGAGAAGGGCTTTCGAGATGTATTAACGTAAGTATGATTAAGCATTGAATCAGGCGTATTTATGATGTAATGCATGTGCAAATGATATTTATATGCCTTTGTGACGATGTGTATTAGGTGCGGAGGCATCGACGTCGGTTCCACCTAAGGTATTGCAAGGGGATTAATTGTGGGTTTGGGGTTGAACCCAAAGTGAGTGTATTGATTAAAAATGTGATTATTTGACTTGTAGTTATATTTATGTGTAATAGCTAGAATGTGGTGTTGTGGATTATTAATTTGTAGAATTGAGATTGGTTATGAGCTCGGGTGATATTTATGATGGTTATGTGCTTCTTGATTTTATTGGTTGTCGAGACTGTCAAGCATAAATGATAACGATGTGACCCTTGAGACTGTCAGACATAAATAGTGGCGAAGTGATTATTGAGACTATTGAGCATAAACGGTAACAATGAAACTGTTGAGTCTATCGGATATAAACGATAGTGATTAGATTGCCGAGATTGTTAGGCGNCGGTAACAATGTAACCGTTGAGACTATCGGATATAAAAGATAGTGATGAGATTGCCGAGATTGTTAGGCATAGACGTTAGCGATGTAATTGTCAAGACTTATATGGAAATGGGTAGTCATTAATTCTTTTCGAGATTTTCAGGTGCTTCTGAATTGTCGGATATTGGTATCTAATTTTACTATATGAGATTTTTTATAAGTTATAACTACTCTGTGCTTATGAATTTTTTTTTTATATGTCTCGAATATACTCATTGAACGTATGGTTCGCTCACCCCACATTTAATATTTTTATGTAACTAAGCAGAAAGAAATGTCATCTATTGGGTCTAGACGGTCGGTGGGAGAAAATGATTGTGCCACGATCATTTTGTATACAATATATTGGTGTCATGTATATTAATTTTAAAGTTACAAAGTCAGAGTTGTTTTTAATTTGAAAGAAGCCACCTTATGCCCAGGGGGCACATGCCAACCCTCACAATTTTTTTTAATAAAATTACTTCTATATATTTGAAGTATTTTTTTGATTTTTTAAATTGTGTCTGCCCTTTTTTTTAGTCAAGACTAGAAAGTGCATGATATGTACATGAATTTACTAGTAATTTTGATATTTATGTTAGTAATTATCACAAACATGACAGAGAATACATTTGATTGTGTAATCGAATGAATGATAAATAACTAAGTGATAACATGATTGTCAATATAAATAATAATAAAGTTAATGTAAGACTTTCAGAGTATGAAAATTCATCGAAGTCAATTTTAAATGATTTTAATTAGGTCTTTGTTTTTAAAAAGGATATAATTATTCTCTTCTTTGTTTTTTTTTTGTTGTCATTTGTATCTAGCATGCTTATGAATTTTAGTCTTTTGAGTTTAATGAACTTTTAAGTATTAAATATGATGTAGTTAAATATAACTACATTATCCTATTTTTATCAATTGCAAGAAAAAAAATTAAGCTTATTAAAATATTCGATGCCCACCCAAAAATGATTTTATGGCTTGCCCTGATAATGAGGTTATATTAAAGGTGGTCCACTCTACAGGGGTAAACAATATGTACTACCTCCGGGGTGAGGGTGTGGCAGTTATGGTGAAAGCTTTTTAGAGCATATGATAAATTTCTCTCTAAAAAACCAATCTAAAGACTTACCTTAGCTGTAGAAAAGACACTCCCTATTTATAATCGGAATAAGGACAATCTTGGTCAACAAAAAATTCAAATTTGCGAAATGGTGGGATGGCGGTCATAGGGACTACTGGAATACAAATCATGTTTCAAACCGACCTAAGAGAGCAGATCGCTCAAGCGACCCCAGAGGATGAGCCCTGTTTTACTCTATTTGGCCTTTTTCTTTATTTTCCACTAAGTCATCAAGAAACCGCTCTAGAAAAGGCTAGCAAGTAAAAGACAATCTCCACTAGTTTTTTAAAGCATAAAACCAAACAAAAAACTTGTCATCTTGAACACTAAAGGGTGTTGGTCAATAAGGAGTCTCATAGTTTGCCAAGGTGCATATTCTCATATAGAAAGAGAGGAAGCGTAGCGATTTGTACTACCAGAAAAGTTTCGCTAACTGACAGGCAATTAAATCCACCGTTAGGTGCAAGCAAGCGTAGCGAATCATATAGATAAGCTCTTACCTGCCGGCACACAGATAGATAAGGTAAGTGAAGTGTGAAGGAGATGGATGTCTAAGCCGTTGAAAAGAGTTGGTTTTGAATATCGAAGTATTGATAGGAATATCGGGGGGTTCGAATCCTTCTCCATTCGTGGGGTCATAAGTTCTCTTTTTGCGTTATCTATAGATAAGAACGAATCAGATCGACTCGCCTAATATAAGAATCCTTCTTCATTTAGAATTACACGAATTGTAAAGAATGAGCTCATCAAGACAGAGCAATCAATGGTCGGGCGGATTGTTTCCAATTCTATTTAATCTTAATTCTCCTAAATTAGCTACCAAGGGATCATTTTAGGTATTAAGTCATTATATTCGTTCTAAACTTGAAGGTGTATTCGGAGTGTAAATGATGTAGCTTTGTCGTTTGATCTTCTCCCCCTAAAGAAGTTTTTGAAATTTCAATCTTTCTAGCATCATGACCAAGAAATATGTTAAGATTTACAATGGACTTCACAAAATTAACCAATTACAAACATATATCTAACATATATCATTAACAAGTGAGGTATAAATGAAGCAGGGAGAATGTTACGATATNATGAATTTACTAGTAATTTTGATATTTATGTTAGTAATTATCACAAACATGACAGATAATACATTTGATTGTGTAATCGAATGAATGATAAATAACTAAGTGATAACATGATTGTCAATATAAAGAATAATAAAGTTAATGTAAGACTTTCAGAGTATGAAAATTCATCGAAATTNAGAATAATAAAGTTAATGTAAGACTTTCAGAGTATGAAAATTCATCGAAATTAATTTTAAATGATTTTAATTAGGTCTTTGTTTTTAAAAAGGATATAATTATTCTCTTCTTTGTTTTTTTTTGGTTGTCATTTGTATCTAGCATGCTTACGAATTTTAGTCTTTTGAGTTTAATGAACTTTTAAGTATTAAATATGATGTAGTTAAATATAAATACATTATCCTATTTTTATCAATTGCAAGAAAAAAAATTAAGCTTATTAAAATATTCGATGCCCACCCAAAAATGATTTTATGGCCTGCCCTGATAATGAGGTTATATTAAAGGTGGTCCACTCTACAGGGGTAAACAATATGTACTACCTCCGGGGTGAGGGTGTGGCAGTTATGGTGAAAGCTTTTTAGAGCATATGATAAATTTCTCTCTAAAAAACCAATCTAAAGACTTACCTTAGCTGTAGAAAAGACACTCCCTATTTATAATCGGAATAAGGACAATCTTGGTCAACAAAAAATTCAAATTTGCGAAATGGTGGGATGGCGGTCATAGGGACTACTGGAATACAAATCATGTTTCAAACCGACCTAAGAGAGCAGATCGCTCAAGCGACCCCAGAGGATGAGCCCTGTTTTACTTTATTTGGCCTTTTTCTTTATTTTCCACTAAGTCATCAAGAAACCGCTCTACAAAAGGCTAGCAAGTAAAAGACAATCTCCACTAGTTTTTTTAAGCATAAAACCAAACAAAAAACTTGTCATCTTGAGCACTAAAGGGTGTTGGTCAATAAGGGGTCTCATAGTTTGCCAAGGTGCATATTCTCATAAAGAAAGAGACGAAGCGTAGCGATTTGTATTTCCAGAAAAGTTTCGCTAACTGACAGGCAATAAAATCCACCGTTAGGTGCAAGCAATCGTAGCGAATCATATAGATAAGCTCTTACCTGCCGGCACACAGATAGATAAGGTAAGTGAAGTGTGAAGGGGATGGATGTCTAAGCCGTTAAAAAGAGTTGGTTTTGAATATCGAAGTATTGATAGGAATATCGGGGGGTTCGAATCCTTCTCCATTCGTGGGGTCATAAGTTCTCTTTTGCGTTATCTATAGATAAGAACGAATCGGATCGACTCGCCTAATATAAGAATCCTTCTTCATTTAGAATTACACGAATTGTAAAGAATGAGCTCATCAAGACAGAGCAATCAATGGCCGGGCGGATTGTTTCCAATTCTATTTAATCTTAATTCTTCTAAATTAGCTAACAAGGGATCATTTTAGGTATTAAGTCATTATATTCATTCTAAACTTGAAGGTGTATTCGGAGTGTAAATGACGTAGTTTTGTCGTTTGATCTTCTCCCCCTAATGACGCTTTTGAAATTTCAATCTTTCTAGCATCATGACCATGAAATATGTTAAGATTTACAATGGACTTCACAAAATTAACAAATTACAAACATATATCATTAACAAGTGAGGTATAAATGAAGCAGGGAGAATGTTACGATATNAAGATTTACAATGGACTTCACAAAATTAACAAATTACAAACATATATCATTAACAAGTGAGGTATAAATGAAGCAGGGAGAATGTTACGATATCAACAAAATGTTGATACAGTACCTTCGTATGCAGTTGTTTAGGATGTTTTATATAATTTTTGAAAATCATTTATAACTTTTACGATTTTCGGGATTGATCCTAAATATTTGTGAATAATTTTAGGATCCTAAAATTGTTAGATTCAATCGCTAACCCCCAAAGTTATAACTTGATCACCAAAAAATATAGTTTGATCCATAAAAATTGTAAGATTATTAGAAAATATTTTTTTAAAATCAATTCTAATATTATTACTTATAACTAGAATTCAAGAATTTGTATGAAGAATCACATAAATGATAAATTTTGTTATAAAGTTTTATTAAGTGAAATAAATGTCCTCAAATGTATAGTAAACTAGAGGAGGTTTAGATAAATTTTTTTCTTTATTATTTCATGGTAGAAGATGATGTGGCATTTATTGTTCTTGTAACGAATATTTACTTGAGTTATGCTCTTTATACCTAAATTTAATAAACTATAGTCACTAAATTATTTGTGTACCCCAATTCAAATTTATTGTGAATTCAATAGCATTGTATTTATGTGAATTCAGATTTTTAATTGTCCTAATTTGTCCCCTAAATTATATAATTTATTTTATTCAACCTATTATATTAAAATTAATTGTTAAATGAGATAAATTAGTTATTAATATTAATCGAATTTATCTTATTTAGTGATAAATTTTAACAAAATATGTCTCAATTATCGATTAATCTTAACGTAATAGATCTATTAAAATAAAGTGAGAATTATACTTAGGTCTCCTGAGATTTGTTGCTTAATCATTTAAACTGATGATATTTGAAATATTAACATAGACCTCTTGAAGTTTATACACATGTAACACTTAAACGCCTGTAGTTAATATCCTTAGTAAATTATACTTAGTCCCCTGAAATTTATATACATGAAATATTTAGACCCTTCAAGTTTAAAATGTTATATTTAGACAAAAAATATTCTAATCAAATATTTTAAATTTTATAACCAAATTCATGTTATATTATATTATTTATTGATATAAAATCAAAAATAAAAATCTAATTTTTTTAAATAAATTATAATTAGTATACAATTATGTTACCTATTGGAATAAAACTAAAAAAATAAACAATTAGTCAAACTATAATGAACACAATATTTTTTATCTTTAATTGGGGTAGTTTGGTCATTTGATAGATAATATAATTGTATACTAATTATGATTTTTTAAAGAAAAATTTAGATTTAGATTTTTAATTTATTATAATAAATGACATAATAGAACATTAATTTTGATTATAAAATTTAAAGTATTTGATATTTTATCTTTGATTGAATTATTTTTTGTTTAAGTATAATATTTTAAATTTGAGGGGTCTAAGTATTAAACGCTAAAGTATTACGCGTGTACAAACTTTAAGAAGGTTGTGTATAATATTTCAAATATCAGGGGTTGAAGTGATTAAATAACAGACCTTAGGGGTCTGAGTGTAATTATTCCTAAAAATAAATTACATAATTTAAGGAAAAATTAGAATAATTAAAAATTTAATAATAATTTAAGATAAAGACCAAGACCATAGTTGAGGGGTATTTATGAGATTTATAGTATTTATTTAGTCCAAATCTTTTACTTACAAGTTACAAAGCTTAGTCTAAAACCGTGGTCGCTACTAGAGGGAGAGAGAGGGAGAGAGAGAAATGGGGCTATTGACTCGCCTTCGATTGAGAAGGCGATGGAGTCAAAGCCCTAGCCATTCTCAGCTCAGCGAGAGGGACTCGGAGCCGGAGACTCATGGTTCTGCTAGAGAGAGAAAGCTTGAAACTGAGACATCGTCTAGTGAGAGAAAGAGAGAGAATGATGTTGAAAAAGAAGAAGAAGAACCTAGTGAGAGAAATGCAGTTCCAGAAAACTCTACGACAACTGCTATATCAAGCCTTTCGTCGGTTAGAGAGAGAATGCTGCGATCGACTGACAGTCCTCCGGCAGATGAGATATCGTCTAGTGAGACAAAGAGAGAGACTGATGTAGAAAAAGAACCTAGTGAGAGAAACATTGTTGCTGAAAACCCTACGATAATTGCGACGACAAGCCTTTCAGCGGTTGGAGAGATAAAGTTTCGATCGACTGACAGTCCTCCGGCCGATGATTGTTGTCCAATCTGCTTCGGCAGCTTCGTCATTCCGTGCCGAGCCCCTTGCGGTCACTGGTACTGTGGTAAGAGTTTGTTTCCCGAAACCCTAATCGCAAAACCAATGTTTGGTTTATTAGAATATGTATGAGAATACTTAAATGAAGATTTAATTAGGATTTATTTTTTGTTGTTATTTTGGTGATGAATGATTTCATCAATAGGCACTTCAATTTGATTATTTGATCAAAAAGAAAAGGGTATGAGAATGGTTATGTGATCAAGAAGAAGAGAGAGAAAGTTATTTTGGTGGTTCTTGTTTGAAGCACTCTTTGGTTAAAGTATTGGAAATCAAAGGAGCGATTATTTTGAATCCAAAATGGGTACTTTCCCGTACAGATTGATTGCAATCAAAGAGATGCTGCAAGTATCAATTTCATTGCGTTGTTCTCCATGAAGGGGTTTCCAAGAAAGAGTGTCTAAGAACCTTACACTATATTCAAAGATTTCTGTCTACGCAAATGTTGGATTTGGGAGCGAGGAGTTCATTGCTTGGAAAAGCAATCAGAGACCACATTAGTTCACATTCTAAAGATGACAAAAGTATATTTCAAATTACCCTAAGGATCTCACTATGATATTGAATGTAGTGTGCATGAGTTCATCGCACAAGTTCTAATCTTGGAGAAATTATAACCAGTTATTTGGGGTCTAATCTCGTGGAATTTACCATATACATTTGTATCTATGAGAAAACATCCTATGTCTGTTATGCGATTCTGAGGAAAGCTTCTTCTGATTTGATACTACACTTCTTGTTTGGATGATCTGTCATTTAATGGCCAAAACTGATAAGAGACGAGCAAAGGAATTTTTTTTTTTTGCCTTTAGTTGAGCTACAGATTTCGAGTTTGTTGTTTGGTTTAAAAATCTTATTACTGATGGTGTAGAATTTCTGGACATTACATGTTTGGGTAAGTTTTCAAGTTGAAAATGGTTGGAATTGAGAGAGAAAGGGTCAAGGATGTTGCGATAGTTCTGTGCAGACAAGAGATTGTTTTGCTAACGTATTTTTGGGAAGCATGGAGAAGATTAATCTTCAATGTTTTTTTCCCTGATAAGGAGCATACCTTTCATTAAATAGTCAAATTGTATGGTATGTTGTCCCTAATTCTTCATATTCTTACCATTCTGGGCAATTCTACTTCTCAACTAAGCTATGATTCTCTTCAATTATTTATTATGGAAGAGTTAATTTCATTTTTTAGGACCTGTACCTCCTTACCTACCTATGGAAACTTACTACCTGCACTCCTTTCCTTGCCACTGAATTATCCTTTTGGTTCAAAGCCTTTCGTTACAAAGTCTGTGTTTTCCTTATTTTTTGTTTCAAAATCATTTGTTCTAAAGTGTGATTTTTTCATTATTTTCTGGTGTGAAGATCATTTGTTGTAGAATTGGTTTTATCTTTGTACAGGTGGTTGCATTTTGCAGTACTGGGACCATGGTGCAGCACTTCAGCCTTGCAATTGCCCCATGTGCTCTCAAAAGATTACTAGTTTGACACCTGAAGCATCATTATTCCATCAGCAGGAAATGGAAGTTACTAGGGTTCTGGGAAATGTTCGGAAATATAATCGCCTTGTTGTTGGAGGCACATATGGCCTCATTCTGGTGGGTTGACATGATCTGCTTTTTACATTTTGGAAAAAATTTACTTCTGAGCTAGCTTCTCACTCAACTTTGTGTTGGTATCATTTACAATTTTGTAAGTTTCCTTGAGCTTTTTTCACTTATAATTGTGTTTGTGCACATGGGTGTGTATGCTGTATCTGTTAGGTTTTGTTCCTGTTTTCTTATTGGAGCCATTTCAATGCATTTTTAGTACACTGCTTTGGATCTATTGAAGACAATGTCTCCATACTTTACTGCAACATAGGACATACAAATAGGACACAGGAACAAGATATCGTTTATCTTGTTGTATTCCAAAAGGAAAAAGCTAGAATGAGTTTCAAAGGCCAACATGGACCCAGTGACGGAATCAAGACTTTATCTTGAAGGGTTCACAGTTTGGCAAAGTAAAAAGTTTATTCAGTGGGATTATTTATGTATATTATTGCTAACGTTAATGTTCTAAGTATGTAGAAACTGTTAAAAGAACTTTCACACAATACTTTGTATTTTGTCTAATTCAATAAAATGGGAAAATTAATTTAGACTTGTCAAAATACGTGTAAAATGTTTCAGAACAATTCATCAAATAATAAAGATTTTCAGTTTAATTTCAACACATAATCAGTCAAGTACAGTTACATTTTTTTTAACTTAATTTAATTTGATAATCAACAATTTCGACACAAAAATTCCAAAAAGTCCAATTTATGCTCAATTCTACTGAAGAAACTAAAAACTTTGACTCAATTTAATCATACAGTCAAAAATAAAGGGATTGTTTGAAAGCATGAGTTGGGCCACGGCTCCCTAAGGGCCCAAGGTGGCGCCATCCCTGCATGTAGTCTAACATGATGCCTGCCGCAACACTGGCAGAACGTGAGCATATGTGGTAAGCATTTTTTGTGCTTAGTGTGTTCTAGCCTTTTGTAGCAACATGTCTGCGCTGCTAAGGTTAAGGCATATTTCTGATCGACCTAATGGGGCCTCCTAGGCAATATAAACATGGGTGCTTGCTTTTTTTCAGACTTCAAAGCTTCCATTAAAGTTCATTTTGTGATTGAGCAATCACTTGTATGATTTTTTAGGCAAGTAGGGCAATAGCTTTGACATGTTGACCCTATGATCTGGGATCACTTTCATCAACTCTTGCTGTGGTATTCCGAATTTTTTTTGGCTTTGTGTATATCCAACAACAATCATATGGAACATTAGCTCTGGCATTGAATAAGGACATCATTAAAACAACTACTTCTCTATCTACTTCACCTTTTGCGGTCAGACAATTCTGTACCAATCGAGTGGTAAAACAGACTTGAATATCATATCATGGACACGGTAACTGGAAAAACATGCTGGAATCGACAAATATAATTGTATTAGGTATGTAAAATTACTTAGAAGCGGGCTATGTTAGGTATGTACATTCTTAGAAGCGGGCTATGTTGTATGCTATTACCTTGTGTTAGCCTTGCCATTGCAAGGTGCCAGAGAAGGGGAAGGGGGCAAAGTAGTTGATATCATATTCAACTGTGTTTTTTTGCTTGGCAGTCTGAATCTTTTCCACTGTACATAGCTATAATCCCTAGATTTGGTCTCTTCTATATACAATTGAAGTTGGAGATCTATTATTCACCATTTGCATTCCTACAACTTCATCGAACTGGTTTTACCTCACGCCAGAAAACATTACCACCACTGTGCTATTTTCATGTCTTTGACCCTCGCTTTTCTTTTCAGGGTCCATATATTTATGCTAAAATTTTTATTATTAGTATGGCTACCAGATTTGAGATTCGAACCGGTGACCTCTACTTTGTCGAGGTGGGGTTAACCATCTCGCATACACCTGTAGGTCTTGTGCTAAAACTTTTATCACATATTGGTGTAGTTCTAGATTATGCACCTAGGCTAGGTGATTATCTCTGTAGTAAAACCCATTAGCTATGGGTTTGATGGAGCTTTTGGAATATCCCAGGAATATGAATGTGTCATTGTTTCTCTTATTATGTCCCTTTGATGTTTTGAAGGATTATAATAGTCTTTAAGTTATTAGATATATCATATTTTTTTTTTCTAGTAATGATCTCTATGACGTAGTGACTTTGTTGGATATCAAGTTATATTCTTTTTATGTAGAAGAGAAGTGGATAGCAAGTTAGAAAGCACCTTTCCATAATTTAACATTGACTTACTTAGATTGAGATGGACACTCTAGTGCCTTAACTATTAAGTTGGGGGTGCCAGCTGATTAAAACCTTTTTTCATTGATCTTTGATTGCATGGAGTAAGGTTTGTAACTCCAATTTTTATTCATTTATTATGAAGATTCAAAACCGTAATCAGAATCTAGGCTCATATATATGTAGGTTGTATTACTTGCTTGAACCCAACCCTAATGCGTGCTTCTTAGTTGTTGTCCCATAATGCCTTAAGGATTTCATAGTAGCTTGATTTCTTGGGCATTTAAATTCTCTCTTTACTTTTGTCAGAAAGTGCTTGAGTTGCCATTTTTCATCAAGAGAGTGTTCCAGGGAATGCTGGATCCCGATAGACATGATGATCACCTCTTCAAATTGCGCTTTTTTGCAGTTAAGTCTATCTAACAGTTGATGATATTATATTTTTTAACACTAAATTTTCCTTTCTTTAGTACTTTGGTTTTATGTTCTGCATTAAATTTCCTTGGAGTCTACAATGAATAAGTGGCTATCTTTCCTTTCAAGTGGTGTCAGTTGTGCATTCACTACTTCCAGTTAATTAACATTTTCATGGATGTAAACTGTATCATATTTTAGCTATAACAAGCTGCTGTATACATGTGCTCTGACTTGTCTTAAGCAGTACCACTTTCAGATATGGCTTCAAAACTTTATTTGCTAAAGCAATATCTGGTTGTCTTCCTTGAATGCAGACGTTTTTGGGCATCCTTTACATGATGAGCCCCTTTGACTTCCTTCCAACAGGTATTTTGCCTTGATCTTTCAATTTGGTGAAAGATATCAAATCTGAGTCCTCAAATGGCCATAAGAAAAGTTGCTGTGCTCGTGGATCTTAAATATAAGGTCTTGATACACCTATAAAAATCAGCCTCACTTTTCTGTTGTGGATGTGCTTTTGGCTAAAAAAGAAAAAAAATTGAAATAATTTCTTGGTTTTTTTTCTTTTCTTTTTTTAAAGTTTGGAAGATGCACTTCAATTATAGTTTTGGGCTAATTTTTTGGTTCACTGAGTGGCACATTATTTCCTTATACTCTGGAAACCTATACATATTCTGTGTGTTTTGGGGTAACACGATAAAACCCATGGTAACAGAATGCAAAATGACTATGCACATCCATGTATGATAAGTGTCACTCCTACTATCTATATGTGATCATAATGCACCACATATAAGCACACGTATAGTATACCCATATATTATGAAAATAGTAGTACATGTATGATAAACACATGATATATATATATATATAATAAAGTACAATACAATTCAAATCTGAAAAGATAAACAAAATGACTTTTGCTATTCGCGGTTGAGATCTCTCTAAATTTTACTTTAAAGTTAATCTGTCGATTAATATTAACACTTCAAATTTAATATGAAAAATAGGATTCTAAGAGTGTGTTTGAGGTGATTTTTTAAAAATGTTTTTAATACTTATAATTTTTCATAAATACTTTAAAAAAAATATAGTGTTTGGAAACAGCCCCACCAACACATCTACCACCCCCAGTCCCACCACAATCACATCTACAACCACCAGCACCCCACCACAATCATCACTGTCGCCACCTTACCACACCCATCGCTCCACTACCACTGTCACTGCCAGCACTATTGCCACCTCACTATCACCTCTTCCACAACAACCACTACCCCACCACCTCCATTATCGTAACCCCACTACCACCATCCCATTAGTGCCTCACCACCACCACCCCTGTCGTCACCTTAGCGCTGCCTCCACCTTAGTACCACCGCCACTATCCCACCATCACCCTCTACTGCCCCCCCTAACCATCATCATCATTGTCACCTATAGTTGCCACCATTACAATCGGTTGTCATCATCTATCACAACTATCATCGTCTCTCACTACCACCACTATCGCCCACTATCACTACCACTGCTCGTCTCAACTATAACCAGTGCTTAAATTCCTTTATTTTTCCTCTATCTTTATAATTTGATTTTAGGTGTAAATACAAATATATTTATTGTTGACTATTTTTTTTTATTAGACACGCAAAATAACTAGTATATATATAATATTGAAGGTGAAGAATATGACTTTAGTTGAGAAATGGATGAGATGATGTTTGGAAAATTTTTTAGTAATGGGGTGGTCAATGCAGTCACAATGTAACTTTCATCTTATTCCAAAAAAATAAATGCAATGAAATTGAAGGATTTTAGACCCATTAGTTTGGTTAGTACTAGTCTTTATAAGATCATTGCTAATGGCCTCAGTTAGGCTTAGGAATTGTTTGATAGAGACCATTTCAATTTTTCAATGAGCTTTTGTGAGAGAGATAGATGTTGGATGTGGCTCTTGTGGCTAATAAGATTGTTGATTATTATAGGACCGGAGGAAAAGAGTGTATTATTTTTAACAGTTTCAAGTAGGATGATGTGATGATTTAGAAGTTATTTCCTAACACCTTCAAGTAGGATGAAAAACCTAACAGTTTCATTTTGGCCCCCCCATTTCATGGGAAGATGATGTGTGATTGGGTCAAACTGTTTGTTGCGGATTAGGGAATTCACTTTGTAGCTTCCATGATGTTAATTGTGGAAGTAGTTCATAATTAACATAGTAATATTTCTTAAGATATGAAGTCTGTAATGTAAAATAGTTTGCTAATGAGCACACGGAATTTTTATTGATTTTTTTTTGTTTGTGGGGTGTGGTTGGGAGGAAATTGCTTGTTTTTTTCAGGTGTTTTTGTAGTTTTTTGGGAGGTGGGGAGTACAATCTCCTAACTGGGCCAAGTTAATGCTTGGTCCTCCATCGTTCAATGTACAAATTATTGTGCTTATTTTTTTCAAAAAAGAAAAACCAGAAATGAATGAATGATATATGCAATTCCTGCATATAGGGAGCTAGTCCATCAGCCTTTCGAATGAGTACCAAGGGACTTACTACTAGCACCATTGGCTTTCCATCCTTCCTCTTCTCATATTGCTCGAGGACCCCTACTTTTATATTTTTTTGGCACTTGTGCACACTGCTATGTTGCATTTAATATCAACTTCTCTGCTGTTCTGCAGGGCGACAGAGTGTCATAGAACTTTTTGATGACACTGCTTTGATTATCTATTTCATCTTATATGTGGCTGGTATCTATCTCCGTCGACGACGTTTACAACGTGTGAGGGAGTTGGCGGCCATCCAACTTTGACAATGCTCGAACTGCTACCCTCCGCGACTCTTGGTACATGTGGATGAATCTCTGAACGTCGTGATTGTATAGATGGATTATGTTACTTTGCGGCTTCTCTGTATCTTCTCTGTAGATATCTACTTCAACCTGAGAATCTGGATGACAAGTTTGGTGTCATTTGGTCAAATTTGAAACAGTTCCATACATCTTGGATGATGCTAGAGTGTATACAGTTGAATGTGTATAGGAGTTATTTTTTTCTTTTTAAATAAAAAAAATTCCAATTTCGTCGCTTAGGGAAATATGTACTTTTGTACATGGACTAAGGTGTCCCGTGCAAAACACATTTTTTTTTAATATATGAGAGGAGTTATTGTGGCTAAAAAGTTCAAATTTAAGTTGTAATATAAACTGTTAGAGATTTACGATTTGGGTTGTTACGTTTTGCGCAAGTAGGACTATGAGTAATATTATATNTAATATATGAGAGGAGTTATTGTGGTTAAAAAGTTCAAATTTAAGTTGTAATATAAACTGTTAGATATTTACGATTTGGGTTGTTACGTTTTGCGCAAGTAGGACTATGAGTAATATTATATAGATGTCCTTTTCTTTTCTTTTCCTTTTAGGAAGCTTTATGAAAAAGTTTTAAGTCTTTAGGGGAACTCTACCAAAGAGGTCAAATTGTCTTTCAAATGATTGTTGCTTGAGAAAAATTAAAAATGGTGACCCAGTATGAGATTTTGGTATACGAAATTTTACCTTCACCTAAAGTTGCTTCAGCGATTCGAAATTTTTTTGTTAGGGTAGATTTCATACACCGACTCTTGTCTTTTTTACGACTAAATATTCAATGTAAGAGTGCATTTTTCTTTTGTTATCCTGTTGATTCCATCAAAAATTAGTAGTCATTGATTCTGACTCAGCACACAAATAATCGGAGAGTTTTAAAGTAACCCATGACATATGTTGGTGACACCCTTCTAAAATTTTCCACACCTTTTCTTGAATTCCACTAAAAATTACTTTTTTAACCTCCGCATAACAGTTGACAACTCCAAATAATTTTTTTTTAGTTCAACAATCAGGGGTGTTCGGGCCAATTTATGCACATCTCGACTAATTTTTTTGCCTTCATGTCCGATCAAAGACAAGTCATTCACGTCGGGATTAAGATATTTATGTGGGACAAACTCTCATAGTCTTATTCAACGAATTGCCAAAATTTAAATTTAAGATATCTTGAGTTTACGATTCGTCTCTATTACCATTTGAATTAACTTACAGTTTCCCAAATTGTTGTCATGTGCTTGAACATATTGCACATCCATTATGTGATGGAGATCTGCTATGGTCGCTGGGTCTTTATTTTTACTTATCACCATCGCCAACGTTTCCAGATTCACCTTCTGACCTGATGCNATATATTCAATGTAAGAGTGCATTTTTCTTTTGTAATCCTGCTGATTCCATCAAAAATTAGTAGTCATTGATTCTGACTCAGCACACAAATAATCAGAGTTTTAAAGTAACCCATGACATATGTTGGTGACACCCTTCTAAAATTTTCCACTAAAAATTACTTTTTTAACCTCCGCATAACAGTTGACAACTCCAAGTAATTTTTTTTTAGTTCAACAATCAGGGGTGTTCGGGCCAATTTACGCACATTTCGACTAATTTTTTTTCCTTCCTGTTCGATGAAAGACAAGTCATTCACGTCGGGATTAAGATATTTATGTGGGACAAACTCTCATAGTCTTATTCAGCGAATTGCCAAAATTTAAATTTAAGATATCTTGAGTTTACGACTCGTCTCTATTACCATTTGAATTAACTTATAGTTTCCCAAATTGTTGTCACGTGCTTGAACATATTGCACACCCATTATGTGATGGAGATCTGCTATGGTCGCTGGGTCATTATTTTTACTTATCACCATCGCCAACGTTTCCAGATTCACCTTCTGACCTGATGCAGCTTCATAGACTTGGGGTTATTAATAGTTATCTGCAAAGAAAAGGTTTGTAATTTTTGGTCCCTTTCTCCCGACAGCCACACCTTGTAGCCTCCCTTAGATTTCCAGATCCTTTAGCAAGATAGACATAAGACAACCCTTCTTCACAAATTAAGNGTCCCTTTCTCCCGACAGCCACACCATGTAGCCTCCCTTGGATTTCCAGATCCTTTAGCAAGATAGACATAAGACAACCCTTCTTCACAAATTAAGAAAAGGTAAGGAGATAAGAGATCCCCCTGTCGCAAACCCTTTTTGGGGGGTGATAAAACTAAATTGCTCATTGTTAAGAACAACTGAATAACAGTACGAATGCAACTCATTATTAAAGAAACCCATTTCGGATCGAAACCTAAAACGATCATCATTTTTTCTAGAAATTTTCATTCCACTCAATCATAGGCTTTGCTCAAGTCACATGTCAACCCAAGTTCGCTGTTCTGTGGGTTTCGAGGCCTGCCATCGTAACTCAAGTTGATTTTTGGAACAAGGTGAAAGAAACATAGCAAACACTTCGCCAACAGTCTTTTATTACATATCAGCAACTATTTACAATCTCTACTTATTCTATCCATGTCTAATTAGTACACAATATAACACCCCCTACCATACACAGCTGCCCTTCCAACAGTACATAACAACAATAAGTATTGCGTTGTCCTTCACATGTTCTCTATCAGATGTGCATACCATGGCCCATGAACACTACCCGACACGGTAGCCGCTATCACCATTACTGTTCCAGCTTCCACCACCATATCGGTAAGAACAGCTGCACCCACCTGCCGGAGTGACATTTCCGTCAATTCTCTTCCGTTTGTCCCTGTACCTCCAAGTACAACTCCTCTTGCAGCCAAATATACTGCACGGGACACCCGTGCAAAAACAGCATCCCCAGCTTGCAAGCTCTTTGCTAACATTCTGGTCATAACATCCTTCCTTGACTGAAGTTTGATGGTATCAGTAGATTTGTCAACCTCTTCTGCGACTCTGCTGAGGATCTCAACGATCTCTTTCATACCTGCATCCTCAACGGTGTCTAGGAGCTCAGAAAGTTGTTTGGCACAGCTCACTACCATGCTTTCCATGACTGCAAAGCTCCCCACCTTTTGTTCGCTGAGGAGAGTCTGCCGCAAAACTAGAATGCTGCACATATATACATGAATGAACCAAGCATCAGTGTGTGGACACAAAAATAGAAAATCGAAGATACCTAGTCACATCAATGTGGAAAAAAGTACAGCCCAGATGTTTCAGCAGCATCAAGAAAATTCATACTAGACATGATTCTTATGCACTTTGAATCCAATACACATCCGATATGGATTGAATTTTTTGAACTGATTGTCCAAATCTGAATCCGTATCCGAATCCTTTATCTCTTGTATCGTGGATTTGGATTTTATCAATATCCACTATGATAGCATTAAGTAATAACTGAATTGGATTTTTTTAAGTCGGATTCAGAGTGGGATCAATACAAATTCTATCAAAATTCGATTCATTGACAAACCTATCAGCTAAAAATGTATACACCTCCATCAAAAGGTAGGAAAGAGAGGATTAAATCCAATACACTTACCTGGTGGCCATTACAATAATCTTCTGAAGTTGGGCCTGAACAGCCCTTAACCGAGGGAGGTTGAGCTTCAGAGTTTCAGGCAACGCTTCTTGCATCAGACCAGATACGCTGCTTACCAACTTCAATAAACCAAGCCTCACCGACAAATCGACCATTTCTCCCTTACATTCCGGATGTTGATCACCTAATCCTACAACTGAAGATTGACCCACTTGACTTCCACTTATTTTGGCCAAGACACTTCCACCCGTTCTCAGGGCAGTATCAGGCAAAAGTCTCTGAGCTGGACTTTCCCGTCTCCTTGTCAACTCTAAGAGAGCATTTGTGTGTTCATCCCATTCCTGATCTTTAATATCCCTCACAGATAAAAGCCACTGCGTTGTGAAAGGTAGGGCTGTCAAGGCAGCGGATGGAGGTCCATAACGGTTGGCAAAAGCTTTTCTCAAATAATCCAAGCCAGCAGGACCCTTCAATAATGGTTCCAACATTTTTATGCGGGCTTTGCTAATTTCTTGCTTGAGTGCCTGTAAGAAGAAACATAAATGTTACATTTTATTTGCACATGGGGGTTGACATACCAAACAGAAATGCATCTACAAATACCGTTTATGTTCCCATGCATCTGAGACAAGGCAACTTTAAACATTCCTAATGCATGTGACATGGGGGTCATATAATATCCTATTTCTAAGCATCTGTGACAAATGTTATAACATCCTATTCTTATTAGTGCAATTCCTATTTTGATAAACTCTCTAGTTCATTTTATTCATTCGCATTTCATACCATCAACTTCAACATCACCAACTCTTTTCTTAGGTGCATAAAAAGCACCCCACATGTTACTGTTCTAAATCAGCAAGTTATTTTTAATTTAATTTTTACCCCAACAATATGCCAACATTCTAAAATGCCACATCTTCTCTACAGAAGTGTCTTACCACATAGGCAAAGCTTGAAATTTCATTCTGTTTTGGAAAAAAACCAAAATGAATATAAAAAGTTCCAATGTTCCAAGGTGTTTTGGGCTGTTTCAGAAACAAATATTTAATTTTTTCTTTGTTTCAATTCTATTTCCCAATTGTTTGTTTTCGAACTTTTCTATTTTGGAGCTGACTGAAACTATGCACCAAAGCAAAACTTTGACCCTTGTGCATAGCAGCAAACACTGATTCACGATATGCAATAGAGTGAAATATAAAGAGCACAAGCATAGCCAAATACCTGTATATGCTCTAACACAAAGCGCAAACCCTTGATCAATGCAATGACATGTGAATTACTTGTGCTACCTCTGGCCTGACATATCTCAGCTAGTTCTTTCAATAATTCCTGGTAAGCTTGCTTTAGTTCATCCTCGTTAGCTGAAGCGCAGAGCTTCTGCAATGTAGCCAATGCAAACTCCAGAATCTTTCCAAGATAATCCATGTCTAGCTTCCCGGAATTCAGCACCTAATGAGGAAAGAAAGATGACAGAATGTATATTTAGTACAACTTCCAGCAATACATACAAATGTAGGAAACAAGAAGAATAATCCTTATCAGTAATCCTACCTGAGAGAGAATTTCCAGATCAATTGCTTCAATGATCTCTTCTTTCCAGCTTTGAGGAGCCATGTCACAAATTTCGTCCCTCACCTCCCTCATAAGTTCAACAGCTCGGCCATAGCTCGGTTCCTCCTGTTTCATGGATTCCATGATGCCATCCCAGAAGGCATTCTCCATTGTTTCTCTTACCTTTGCCTGCAGGGTATAGAAGTGAGCAATTAATAAGATAAACAATTTCAACATGCCCTTGGAAGATGAAAATAACAAATCACGCGCTTTTGCAGAAATGGTTAAAACACTGTTGAAAGCCTGCATGTCGGAATCTAATATGGTTATTATGCAAGAAGATTGGGCTTATTTGAGCAGTGACAGTATCATTTGTTAACAAGGCTTAACTTTTTCCTTCTTTTTAGAACAACTGGATTGTTTATTTCTTTAACTTCCAATCCTGTTATGCACAATTTCCATATACTTAGAGATAATTACAAATTTAATTTAAACCATTTTCCCTCAAAAGAATTGAACTATAAACTAATTAAAAAAGCACCAACCTTAATATTACTCCCAACTTCATTGGCAGCATTAAAGTCATCAGCAAATGAATGGCACTGCCCGTGAACAACTTCATTCACAATCAATTCATTTTCCATTTCCAACTTCTCACCAGAATATTGGTACTGATTGCTGCTGGGAGTAGAGGTACCAGCTTCTTTTGAAGGGAAATAACCTTCATCCCTGAATAAGGAGCGAACTACATGGTTTGGCCTCTCGTTATCCTCAATTCCATTACTGTTTTCATTTGAGCTAGGAACGGAATTTGGAGAAGTGGGGGAACTAGGTAGGCTTGGAGATAACAGGTGTGCGATCCGCGAACCTATAGGGCTTCCATTCTCCAATGCTTGAAAGTATTTCATTCGTGTGTCAGAGAGAGCACATTCCATGTGTTCTATCCCAACATCTCCACTCAAATGATGCACTTTCTGTCTCAAAAGTTTCTGATCTTCTGTGACCTGCATCATAGGAGTTCCAATATGTGACCATTTGCCAAATTTATAAAAAGAACAAACATTATGAACAGGGTTAGATGTAATATCCTATTTTGCGTTGACAACAAAGATAGTTTATATATGCAGACTGTAATAAAAGCTTGAATATTCTGACATGACTAAAATGCACTAGATGGCAAACAAATAATTTTCTATACCACAAAAATTTCATGATGATCAAGGAAGATATCCACTTAATGGCAAACAAATCAATTTGCTATACCACCGAGTCCCATAGTAATGATCAATGCAAGTTTTCTGTCTTTAAAAACGTCAAAACATCAAAATTATATTTCATAAGCACCAAAAACAAGCCAGTGGGAAAAAAGTTGATGTAGAAGTAAATTCTTAGCAACATGTTTGCCAAAAAATTACTTTATTGAATCATTTGTTCATAACTGTGTATTAAAGTCATAGGAAAAATAAAGGCTAGGAGCAACACCTGTTTCTGGATAGCCTTCATATCATGAGTAAGGGGATCACTATCTCTCTCTGGGGTCAGCTTGCAGGTTTGAATCATAGAGAGTTCAAGCTGGCAAGCGGCTCTCACCAAATCATCCTCTAATGATTGAGCATCCTTAGCCTTCCACACCACGAAGCTATTCAAATAGGAGCACCATGCCGCATCAAAGGCAGAAAGCTGAGACCTAAAGGTCAACCGTTTCGCCAATGTAGGGTCAGACTCTTCGCCGGACCTCTGTATGGGCCCATCTAATATGATCTTAATCAACAACTCAAACTCCTTAACAAACTTCTCAGCAGACTTGGCAAGAGAAACCTCACATTCGCCTCGACCACTAAAAACTGCATCTGGATGACCCAATATCATGTAAGCACAAAGCACAATTCTCACTTGGTACCTTGATAATTTGACTGGACTTTTGGTTGGTTCTCTAGTGGACCCTGGTTTATTAAAGTTTCTACCCCGGGAAGATTTCCTGGGTGTTTCCCTCCTAGTAGGGGAAGCAACACGCTTGAGAAGGTGGTCAATGTCATCCCAACTGGGGAAATTAGTAGTAGCGGCAGCAGCCTGTGAGAGTGTATAGCGGATTTCAAGCCGGTCTAATAGAGCTTTTGTAGTCTGAAGAGCAGTGGTTGATTCAATCAGAAGCGCAAGCTGCTCAAATGGCATCAACTTCACGAATCTCTCATTGATATTCAAAGCATCATAGGCTTTTGCCAAATCTAGGGAAGTTCTTCTCAGTTTAAGGAACTGCCTCCAGCACCTACAAAACACGATTTTGTTAAGGTTAAATACTAGAATACTTTTTTTCTTGCACAACACTGAATGGAGAGAAAGATCACCAACCCAAGAAGAACATAACTTCAACTTCATATTCTCAATAAATGTACTTTAGACCAATCATACTAAAGTGAAAGATTACAGCAGGCTAATGTATTCAGTGGGAATAAAGTAGCAAACAACATTTAGAAAAGTCCAAGCATTAAAATTCGTTATTTTTAAAAAAATTAAATACCTTGCTAATTTTATGGACAAGAGGTCAGCCTGCTCGAGCATATTATTCCAATTAGCATGACCTGAATTATGCCTTCCCCTCTGCATTAGATATTCGGCTCTCTTCCTCTTTGCCTACATTTTTAGTGAAGGAACTAAAATTCCTAGAAACAAAATGACGATGATAACATTGCCTAAAAGAAGTTGAACAACTTAAAATCACATCCATACCCTTTGTAGTCTGTCTTCCAACTTGTCTTTCATTCTCCTCCGCTCGACCTCTCTCTGGTGAGAGACAGACTTGGCTACCTTTTGCACTTGCAACAACCTAGCACGTACTTTTTTCTTCTCCGCTTCCAGCAATCCTAATCGATTCTTCTCAGCAGCTGCACGCTTTTGGCAAATTGCAGCATGCACACGCTCTTTATACTTATTCTCTCGAACCATACTTCTTAATAATGTTTGAGATATCCTCTCGTTTAGTGTGGCCCTCCGCTGGCAGTAGGCCTTAAGGATAAGCATTCTATTTGTCTCTGCCTGCTGAACCCGAGATTCCACTTTCGTACCAAGCTCTGCACGTTCCTTCTTATAGCGCATTTCTAACCCAGTTTTGGCTGTTTGCCGCAACTCATCCAACTTAGCTAGGCGCAACTGAGCCTTTGATAGAATGCTCAACCTAACATCACAACCATAAAAGCATAAATGGTGACATTCATCCAGTTTTCTTCAAAGTCAAAAAAAGCTCCTCAGTGTACTTTCACATTCTTGAGCATTAGAATGTACCAGACCCATGATACACCATTGAACTATAATGTTATCTGCAGGCGCAATGCATGAGGCTCTCACATGTAGGGTTGCCAATGGGTCGAATGTGTCAAAATTGGATTAACTCTTACCCGATCTAGTCATAATCAATTATATTCGGATTCATGCGTGTCAAGTTTGCGCCGAGTGTAATCTGTTTTTAGTGGGTTCCTATTGTATTTAGTCAGGTTTGTGACCGGTGTACCACTCAAACGTGTTAATTTCATGTCGGCTTCATATGTCATGTCCAAAATTGCCAACCCTACTCACAAGTTACACGGGAAAAAAAGAACAAGAGATTTTCACAGAAGAAACTAAAATTTCTATGACTACACAAATCAAACATCGTGCCCATTTTCTTAAATCAAATCCAAGCATATTTTGAATATTTAAGCAAAAAATTGGATATTTTGCCAAACAATACTACACTCATATAACGAGCATAGTTATTAGTATCATACGATACGCAATATGAATCATACGATACGTCATGATACACCTAAAAAACGATACGTATCGCGTCTCTGTATCGTTTTTGCACCGTATCGTACGATACGATACATACTATACGTACGATACGATCCACCCGATATGTACGATACGTGATGATTCTATTTTTTTATTTTTTATTTTTGTTTTTTGGGATTGAAATGACATCATTTTACCCTAGNACATCACGATACACCTAAAAAACGATACGTATCGCGTCTCTGTATCGTTTTTGCACCGTATCGTACGATACGATACATACTATACATACGATACGATTCACCCGATATGTACGATACGTGATAATTCTGTTTTTTTATTTTTTATTTTTGTTTTTTGGGATTGAAATGACATCATTTTACCCTAGAATTTATTTTTAAATCACTAGCTAGTGAAACAACGTCGTTTCAGCGGTTATAGTTTAAAAAAAAAAAAATAAAGTCTAATATTAATGTTGTTCAATTAAATTCAAAATTCCTAATTAATATTAAAGTTGTTCAAGCAGTTGATGTTAGAAGTTTGAATAAGAAGTTTTTGTATTTTGATATTACTAAACTATGTTGGAAATTTGAATAGTTGGTGGAATATTAATGAAATACTATATTATTATGAGTTTATGACATTTTTATAAAGGTATATACATATATTTTATTGCGCGTATCTTAAGATATACGAAACGATACGCCTTCCGATACACGATTTGACAACTATGATAACGAGGAATTAGATGAGTTTTGTTAATGTAGATTGGATCCATTACAGATAAATTGTATCCATTAATTATAATCCCCTATTTCAAGGNAAATTGGATCCATTCCAGATAAATTGTATCCATTAATTATAATCCCCTATTTCAAGGGAACACCTTTGATTCAAATGAGAAATNAGATTGGATCCATTAATTATAATCCCCTATTTCAAGGGAACACCTTTGATTCAAATGAGAAATTACCATACGTCACCATTTACCACACAAAAGAATTAAAAAAAAAATATACTCATAATGGTGGCTGGACATAGGTTAGTTGCGTAAACTACTCTACGTACCTGCTNATTACCATACGTCACCATTTACCACACAAAAGAATTAAAAAAAAAATATACTCATAATGGTGGCTGGACATAGGTTAGTTGCGTAAACTACTCTACGTACCTGCTATTGAAATTAAGTCAATATGTAGTTCGGGGAGGTTAAATATTTTTTTGTGGTAAAGATCAACGGATAGATGAACCATTGATCTTAAATGGATAAAATACCCATCATTTTTGAAATGGGTAAATAGCCATTTTTATTTTATATGGGCATATAAGATCCATTTAGCTTACTGAAAAATTTGGGAATTTGTTGGGAGTTGTGATTGTGTTTAGTTTTACTAGACTGCTTACGTATCCACCAAAATGGAATCAAGTTTGGTGCAATTCAAGAATTTTAGGAATTTAATTGGATTTGATTTGGAATTGCGACTATGCCCATTGTAAATGATGAACTGCATAAATATCTGAAAATAGAATGAATTTAACGTAGTTCGAATGAAAAGAATTTGGAATTTATTTGAAAGTGTGACCGCGTCAGTGTAGGTATTGGATTGCCTACGTATCCAACAAATGAAATCAAATTTGATATAGTTCGTAAAAAAAAAAAATTGAGAGTGGATTTTAAATGAGNTTTATTTGAAAGTGTGACCGCGTCAGTGTAGGTATTGGATTGCCTACGTATCCAACAAATGGAATCAAATTTGATATAGTTCGTAAAAAAAAAAATTGAGAGTGGATTTTAAATGAATGGATGACTCATTTAATTTGGACTTTTATTTGATTTGGTTTTAAATGGGTAAACAACCCATTTGATTTTAATTGGGTAGCAACTTTTCATAAAATTTGGACTTATGTGATTTTTTGGATTCACATATTTTGACTTGAAAACGAGAAACTTTGAAATATATCTTTTTAATAAGGATCATTGAGTTTAAAACTCCAAAACTTATTAAAGAGTTAGAAACTCTTTTAATTTAAAATTTCTTGTCCATGGACAAATATTTTTATGGGTTGCACCAATATGTTTTAGCAAATCTATTCTTCGCCGAACGGAGTCGAAGACTCCTTGATTTTAGTCATGTGTTTCATATAGATGATTTGAGAGATTTTTTAGTCAAGTGGGTGGCCAAGTGAGTGAACTTTACCAACTCCAAAGGTCATTTAGAGTCTATATTCTTTTTGCTAAGCAATAAAGAATTTAAGATTCCAGAATTTTCTACTTTGGTTCTAGCCCACATTTTTTTAGATGGACCCAATAGCAGATTTTTTGAAAGAGTTTGAAACTTTAGACAAGTTGAATTGGGTCCACCCAATGCATTTTGGTTGCCTCTGTTTTGTTTTTTAGGGGAGTTTGAAATACTCTTGATTTAGTGCCTAATCTGATTTCTTATAGCATAAGGCAAACTGGGAGCTCTTTTTCTTGTTGTAATTTGAATAAATGCAGCAACAATCAGATTAGCATCAAGGACTACATATATTTTTTTTGCCTCCAACCAGTCGATTATGTTCAACCAAGGGAGTCATAATATTGCCACTACGAGGATTTTCTTCCCTGGCATCAGGTGCAGAACTTTCTTTTTTTGGTGTGTGCAAGATTTTATCAATTGCATCTGTGAAGGGAGTTGAAGACTCCAACTCTTTCATTGCCCACTGATTTTGTAAAGGAGTCAAAGACTCCAAACCGGATTTGAAAGAGTTTGAAACTCTAAGAATGCTACCAAAAAAATAAACTTCATATATTCACAATTTTTTTTTTTTTGGCTGCCACTCATTACATTTGGTGTGCATAGGTGGACTAAAACACCAAATGAATTAAATATGGAAGGAACTAAAGGCTTTACAGAGTGTACCACTCTTTACCATGGGTTTCGTCAACAGACCATTGAATGGTCCTCGACGCATCGAAACTAAAAGAGCCTAAGGCTCTAGTTGATTCTACCACTTTTCTTTATTACTAGAGGAATTTTGGGCAGATGAACTTCATAGTACTGCAGCATATAACCTGCGACAAAGGCAAGATTTGGGCAATGTCTGCTGCATGACATCCTCACCACATGACATCTTTCGAAAGGCCAACCCTCTGACCATGTTTGTCTTTTCCTTGTTGGAGCTTGTATTGGCAGCTCCTTTTGGCATGTGAAATACCGATGGAGTAAAGCTCCACTTTCTTTTGATGGTCTTTGGAAGACCGGTGAAGTGGTGTTTTGAATAGTTTTTTTTCGTTTATCGCTTGAGTGTTGCTTATTTTTTTTAACACCATCGTGAGAATTTAATATTTATCCATCCCTTTTTATACAAGACCAATTGCAATGGACGTTTATGGCGAAATAACTTGTCAACGGGCTTCAGCCGTTAGTGGCTGGAAGCTCAAGTTTGGACCACAATATGGGAGTTCATTCCCACTAAAAGACTTGAATATCAACATCACTCCAAAAAGTCTCATAAGCTAGATTCATAAGGCAGATACTTTCACAAGCTAGTTTCCATTTGATTCTCAAAGAGAGTCTACAAACACTATGGACCCTTATAGAGTGTTTTTTGCGAGTTTTGGAGCCCATTGACAAATACTTTCCACCATGCAGTTGGTGAGCTAGGTATTTCATTATATGACTTGAAAATATTAGGTGGTATAACACTTTTAGTGCTTGATAAGGACAAATATTCTTCCACTATAACTAAACTTTTAAGGATCTATGCCACTTTGTGTGATCACCTCTTTGGGACTCAAAAGTGACTTGGATTCAATGCATTCACTTCTTTTATAGGGGGGAAATGGTGTATGCCGATTTTGGAGAGAAATTTAAATTTATTTACAAGAAAGGTGAAGAATTCTGCCCCGCGCCTTTGGAGGTATCATCAAGAGGGGCATTGGCTGCTTATAGCTTTGTGGCTTTAGTAGATTTGTCTTTCCTCATGATAATATAGTGTGGTGCGTCTAGAGACTTTCCATATGGCAACTTTACTAGTCAAGGGGCTGTTGTTTCACTAGCCCCAAGTGTTTTGGGTTTGTATCTATCATGGGTTGGGAGAAATTGCTACTCACCCTAAAGGCCCCAGAGCAGCAAATCCAAAATTTTCCATTAATTAAATGTGTGGTTGGTTGGGAGAGCAGATTTTGTACCGTCATCNGTTGGGAGAAATTGCTACTCACCCTAAAGGCCCCAGAGCAGCAAATCCAAAATTTTCAATTAATTAAATGTGTGGTTGGTTGGGAGAGCAGATTTTGTACCGTCATCGACCTCAGGATGAATTTCCTCCTACCTATCCATTGTTGATCGGAATGTTCAAGCAAAAGAAATGAACACTTATCCAAATCGCTTTTAGACATAGTAAATATCTTTATTTCCGACCAACCTTTTTTGATGAAAACGAAGATATTGATTGCTTGGATGTTGCAAGGATGTCAGATAAACACTTTGAGTTTTTGGTTTCCATACGCTCTGCCTTGCTATTTGTAAGAATGAGTACTGATTTGTGTGTTCAACCTTACTACCCAAACAGATTTGCATGTCAAAAATAAATGTTGTGCTTTAGCCACCTCCTAGTTATGATCAGGTTTGCTGTCGCACAAAAAGGTATGATCACATCGAGGAGGTGGCTAAAACACAATATTTATTTTTGAAGAGGAACACTAATGCATTGTTTTTTATCCCTCGGGCAAGCTATACAGGAGTCTCCACCTACTGATATTGCCGATGGTGGGTAAGAAATTCAACTCCTTATTTAGGTATATCAGTTCGCAAAGTACATCACACTTTGACCGAATGACACTATAACCAATCGAAGGCAGTTTTTATGATTAAAAACATTCAAAATCCTACCAAGTGTATAAGGAGAGCCATCAAGCTGACTGACAAGTACAATTCCAAAATTAGACATGATAATTGGGGGAAAACTTACTTTGGTGAAAGAATAAAATTTCAAACTCATCGAGAACTTTTTCTGATGATATAAATCCTAAAAGAGCTCACTATGAAAGGTCAANGGGGAAAACTTACTTTGGTGAAAGAATAAAATTTCAAACTCATCGAGAACTTTTTCTAATGATATAAATTTTAAAAGAGCTCCCTATGAAAGGTCACGTGGATCAGATGAGGATGCTAGCTATGATGATGCACCAAGGTGAAGCATTTGGTAATATTGAGGGGAGCGATATTAAAAAGCTCAAGACTGGACTAGAAGATGAGCTTGTTAATTATGACAGTCCTGATGAACTTTGTTAAGGTTGAACCATCGATTACTCTTCCTTTGGAGCCTTGTCAAACTACTTTCTCATTAGAGAGATTCTTGACATCAGTAAGTACTGAGGTTGGACCAAATATTGAGTAATTGGACAAATCTCATCATGTTCTTCGCCTGAGATTTTATTGGATTCCCGCGCTAAAGTGATCGAATCACTTCAAATGATCGTGGGGTAATTATTGAAACTAATTCAGGGAGGGATGAGGTCGATTGTTTTGCCAACACTGTNTTGGAGCCTTGTCAAACTACTTTCTCATTAGAGAGATTCTTGACATCAGTAAGTACTGAGGTTGGACCAAATATTGAGTAATTGGACAAATCTCATCATGTTCTTCGCCTGAGATTTTATTGGAGTCCCGCGCTAAAGTGATCGAATCACTTCAAATGATCCGTGGGGTAATTATTGAAACTAATTCAGGGAGGGATGAGGTCGATTGTTTTGCCAACACTGTCACACAGTTTTTTGAACTGTCTGAAACAATTATCAAAAGTAGGACAGCATAATCGAAATTGCCTAACTGAGACAGAAGGTTTTGGGGCAAGGGCTAGACAATGCTGATGACTATCACATGGAGTCTGCTTGTAGCCAACTAAACTAACTAGGTTTGTGACTTGACCTAAGTAATTTTTTCAGAAACAATACATGACAAAAGCCTCACAAAGATCGTAAAATTATAGCAACATACCAATTTTAGAATAATNTTCAGAAACAATACATGACAAAAGCCTCACAAAGATCGTAAAATTATAGCAACATACAATTAAAGCATACCAATTTTAGAATAATAAGAATAGGATAATAGCAAGCCAATAATAGTTTTATGGAACAAATTCTGTCACAAACATGTTACCTTTTTTGCTCAGCAGCTTGAAGCTTTGCTTTGAGACGCTGACCAAGGTCGTCTTCATGAGATGAAGACTGGGAGGGGCTCCTTGGCTTCAGCCGGGCCTTACTTGACAAGTGCTCATAGAATTTCTGCAATTTATCATGCAAACAAATAAATTTGAGCAATGTTGAACTTGAGTGGTATTTTGGTATGAGGCAAACTGGCAGACAACAGAAGGACCATGAACACAGAATGACACCAAATTTCAGTGGTTGAGAAATCATAGGTGTTTATTATTATTATTATTAAATAATTTATGTTTATTTTAATGAATTTTATAAACATAAATATTCAAAATTAATAACAGATTGAATTACCAACCAAGACACTAACTTGACATTCACCTAAAATTTAGTTTCCCTACTCAGAAAAAGAAATATAAACAACTAAATAAAAAATCACAAAATGGAAAAGGGGGCTTATTTCAGGAATGTATACATAATTAAGCAATCAGACCCCGGAGAGAGAGAGAGAGAGAGAGAGAGACCCATATGAAGAAAAAAAAAAGGATAGGTAAAAGAAGGGAACAGAAATTCAGACGGAAGAATAACCCACCCCACCTCCCACCCACCTAACACAAGAAACAACCTTCAAAACAAAGGCAAAAGATTCAAAGCGACTGCATACTGAAAGCATTCCAAAACCAATAAACACCAAAAGAACCATGATTAGTCTCACGAGAAAGAATCAAAATCAGGAACGAATAATAACTCAGAAATTTTGTTTAACATACCAGAACGTCTTTTTAACTCACAAGACTTCTACTTCTCGTAGTGTTCTCAAAGAATCTGAACGTAGCACTACATAGTTTGATTGCGTGTTTTATTATCTTTCTTTATCAGAAAAAAACAACAATTAACCATATTAATAATAATCCAATGGATAAAATGTATTAACTAACACTCAAATGATCGAAAATTTTTGATTTTTTTCTCACAATCACGCCAATTGAAGGCTATAATCATAAAAAAAATCACAATTAATCAAAAGAGTATGAAAAAAAAAAATTAAGAGAGACCTGTCTACGAAGATCTGCGCCACGAAGTTTGGCCTCGATTTCCTCAACACTTGTCGGTGACGCCGTTTTGGTCTCCGAAAACCTCCGACGAAGTCTCCGTGGCATTCTAGAAGGCGAAGACGACGCCGTCCCATCACTCGCCGGGAAATCCATCGCGATTCCGGCAACCTTACCGTTACCCGCTGACTCCACTCCCACCTCCATCAAATTAAAGTCAAATCACAACTCCAAATGACACAAACAACGATTGCTCAAACAACAATTAGATCTGCCAATTTAAAACCACACTATACCGATGTATATACACGCTTCTACATATATACGAAGAGAGAGAGAGAGAGAGAGAGAGAGAAGGGGGAATTGGATTTGAGTTCAAGAAAGGTCAGGCGACTGTGATCGGTGAGAGTTCGGGTACATTTGTTCTTGTTATATGTGAATCTAAAAGAGCGTGTTGTGTAGACGAGCGTGTGATAGGTGTAGTGTGCGCGTATCAGAAAGTGCCACGTCATCACATGCCCCTAACGGCTCTATTGGACTCTAATTGTCCTTTGCCTATTTGACCATATTACCCTTTGTCCATTTCAAAAGCACAGCTAGCAATACTTGTAAATGTATGTTCAGTTATTGTAGGGTAATATTTTTTTCAGTAAAAATTATAGTTGGTTCGAAATTTTTGTCTTTAGTTTTTAATTTGGTCCCTGAATTTTTAATTATTTTAATTTAATTTATTAATTATTAATTTTATCTCAATTAAGCTCTTCCATTTATTTCTCTCACTAGATCAACACAAAAATAGATCAGATTAAACTAGTTTTCAGTTGATTTAACAAAAAAAATTGATGAAACGACTTAATTTAACGAAATTGATTGTTGATAGGCCAAATTAGAATAATTAAAAATTTAATGACCAAATTAAAACCAAGGGTAAAGTTCAACTTTTTTTTTTTGCCAGACACTATTACAAGACTGGAAAAAGGGTGATGAAAAGATTCAAACTTACAACGTTAAGATCCAATAGTGAAGGTAGTGACCATTAGGCTAATTGCTAAAATATTATAGGATATTTGATCCACCATTATTACGTTTATTGTTTAAAATGTGATTTTTTTTAGGAAAAATTTCAGCGACACCCCATCTATTTTATCATATCTTCAAGGACACCCTCTATAATTTTTAAATCTTCAATGACACCCTTTCTAGTTTAATTTAAACATCACTAACACCTCCTACCATTAAACTACTATTTCTAATAAAAAAAATTCATCTAAAATACCAAAAATGCCACTACATAACTTCAAGTAATTTTTTTACATAAAATTTTATTAAAATTCGAGCTGTTAAAATTTTAAAAAAATCATAAATAAGAATTTTAGTAAATACTAATTTGTNTTTATTAAAATTCGAGCTGTTAAAATTTTAAAAAAATCATAAATAACAATTTTAGTAAATACTAATTTGATATTTACTAATTCGTAAATTTTTTTAAAAAAATCGAGCCTGTTAATTTTTTTTATATATATTAAAATTTGAGTCGATTTGAACTCTACCCGAGTTGTTAGTGCCGATTAAAATTTTCTTTTGAGTCAATTAAATTTATATTTTTTTACTTATTAAAATTCGTGTCAATTAAAATTAGATTTATTAAAATTTAAGTCAATTAAAATTCATATATTTTTATATATTAAAATTTGGGTTGATTAAAATGCAATGCGAATTAATTAAAATTTCATTTGAGTCGATTAAAAATAATTTTTAATTGTCTCAAACAAAATTTTAATTAGCCCAAATTCTAATACGTAAAAAAAATATAATTTTTAATTGGCACAAATTTAAATATGTAAAAAAATAAATTTTAATTACCTTGAATCGAATTTTAATCGGTTCGAATTTAATTACGTAAAAAAGAATTAGAAAACAGAGGGAGTCTCATTGAAAATATACTTATCTAGAAGGGGTATCATTGAAGGTATGTTTATCTAGAAGGGGTGTGGATGAAGTTTGTCCTCAAATATATCATGGACAATTTAGTAAAATTACATTCTAATTAATATTTTTAATCTAACAGGGGGTATCATTGAAGATTCAGAAACTAGAGGGGGTGTCCTTGAAGATATGGTAAACTAAAGGAGTTGTGGTTGAAATTTTCCCTTTTTTTAAATTTTTTTATTATTTTATTTACTTTTTTTTGCTTGTGAAAAAGAAAAAAAGGGTGCCTGGTAGGTAGTAACTCCTAGAGGCGATCATAAGGGTCCTCTCATTGTGGAATGTCTGATTTAAGTTATAACTATTAACTTAGAAGGGCAGTTCGTTTTTGTAGCACCACTAAAGTCAACCAACAAACCATGGTACTCCCGTGAATCAAATTGTAATTTTTTCTAGAATAATGAAAAATTTATTGAGAAGATCTAAATTTTTTGTTTTTTCTCTCATAGTTGGATTTCATTATATTATTTTTTTTGTCATCTAATTTTTCAATTGCATTTGCCTTTTTATCTCTTTCTCTATATAGAAGCATCAATATTTTCTTTAATTAACCAACTTATAAACTTCAACTTTAATAGAAGCATCGTTTTATTATCCCGAGACTGACATACAAAACACTGTAAGGTCATATATAACACACAATACACAAAACTTTTGTTTATAAATTGTATACTGAGGTATGAAAGATTTTTTTTTCTTTCAAATTTCAACTCGCAAAGATTCAATTAGACAAATAAATGCTAACCATGGAAAAACATGAGAATTTAATGTAATCATAAGATAATGAGAATTAGTGGGTGAATCATGTAGACCACTCATGGTCATCTAATGATCAACATTCTTTTTTAAAAGCAAGTTCCTGTCATGGTGGCCACATGGGCATAAATGTGATTGAAAGACAAATTGCTTGTGGCTCAAATGATATTGTGTTCTTCCTTTCTCGTGGTGCTTTCAACATTTCGTGTGGTTCACATTTATGCTTACTTATTTGGAGTAATCGTATCTTAGTCTTATGTGTGGATTTGAATTATCATTAAAGTGCAAGTTCTAATTGAAGTGGTGTATGAATTGAGAGACCAGTCCATGCACTCGGAGTTTATCATCAGTTCTACTCAGACTCATGAGCTTGAACAACATAAGCGTGTGTTTACTTGTCAGAAACAAATTAAGAATTTCCTCCGTTACCTAGAAAAAGGAGAAGAAGTTGAAAACAGAAATATATGTTATGATGACTAGATTTTGATTGAAATATAATCCTCATAATCATAAAATTGATGTCTTTGTTTCTTTTAATAGTTAGATACATTGTATAAATCATTGTTGACAGAGAATGTCAAGAAAAAATTTAATAAAATCATTGTTGAGTCAAGATCATGTTCTGTAGTGTACGCAGGTGGAATGAAGTATGAGATAATGGATAATGGGATAAGATACATAGTGGTAGTTGATGAAAAAAAATGTGTCTGTATGGCCTAGGGTATATCAAACATACTATATAAGCATGCAACACAAACAATTGCACACAAGAGGTTGAATATTGAGGAATATTGTGATGATTTCTTCAAGAAAGAGGTATTCTTAAAAGCTCATGAGCTAATGATACACCTCCTTTGAGACCAGAGAAAATGGCCACATGCAGTTGGTGATATGCTATCTCCTCCCCCTCTAAGAAGACCCCTAGGCAGACAAAAAAAAAAAACAGGAGGAAGGAGGCAAATGAGTCAGGATCATAACTAGCTTTGTTAGAAAGTCTTTAAGTGTGAAATGTAAAATTTGCAGAGTTTGATTATAATAAGAGGACATGTCAAAGATCTTGTGAGGGCAGAACAAACAACTCTTATGAGTGCACAATAGCCAGCTCCTGTGATGGCAGAACATACAGTTTCTCAAGCAGAATCTAAAATTGGACTAACAAATGAACAGGTACTAATTCATTCATTTTTTAGTTATGTAGTTTACAACATACACAAGCTGCTAATTCACTTTTCCATACTTATTAGGTATCTGTAACTAGAGGGACTGGTGTAGGTAGAGGAAGAGGAAGAAAGAGTAAGGGCAAGGGAAGAGGAACACCGCCACAACCTACCTTACCACCACAAAAACAAGAAATTGAAGGGACAACAACACATCCTAGCTTGCCACCAAAAAACCTGAACATTGAATGGGCAGTGGACAAAGGAAGATGACGAGGCAGAGGAAGGAAAGGCATGTGTACGGGCAAGGGCATTGGGGAGACACAAACTGTTGGGACTTGATCATAACATGGATGCTGATGTTTTGATGTTTTGTTCATGGTGTGAATACTTGAATATAGTTGGTTTAACATAGGAATAGAGTAGGACATTTGTGTAGAATGGATGGTTTAACAGATTATTTGTAAATTTTTGTGCAGAATACCTACAAATGTCACAATAGAATAGTTTGTGACTGCACATCGATACTGAATATTATATGAAAATAGAGGCAAATTTGAACATTCATGAATGTAACTATCAGAACTATTATGAATGTAACTATCAAAACTGCAATGCTTAAAAAAATCATGTGCAGTCATGTTACATAGAACAAAAACATCATATTTGAACAACCAGTCATATTACATAGAAAACAAAACATCAGATTTGCACAACCCAAAACATAAGTATGCAACTATTTCATTCCAACCAAAAACTGTAACACTAAAATCATAATTACAATTGTCATTTTCTTCATGCAATGGAGAGTGTCCTCTATCGACTTCATTCTTGCAGCCAACTTGTTTAATTCAACATTTGTCCCTATGTTGCGATGTCTGATTCTATACCTGTCAGGATGGGCAATTAGTGGTACAATAGATATTGGATGACACCATGTAAAAAATTTGTAGAACCTTTTTTCACAATTGTAATAGAGTCTTCCTTTACCAGCTTTATTAGATTCCACTATCTTAACCACAACTATTTTTTCATAAAAACATGGTTTATAATTATATCCTAGGTCAAACTTCTCCTCCCCTATGTCTCTACCTTCACCAACAGTTGAAGAAGACATCAATCCTACAATAATACATTACAACATACTGACATTTAAACATTTAAAAAAAAAATTGCTAGAAAAAAAAATTGATTGAACAAAATAAAAAAAAAATTAAAACTATCTGCATGAAAAAAAATTGAGTAAAAAAAAATGCATGAAAAAATTTAAAATATCTACACAAAAAAATTAAAAAATTAACTGAATAAAAATTTTAAAAAAATTTGCATAAAAATATTTACAAATTTATAAGACAAAAAATATTTATCAACTTTTGTAGTGAACGATAAGTATGAAGAACAACTTGAAGAACCAACCAACCTCACGTTCAGTTTTGCTTTTAGCTACACAACTTTT